TACAACCTGGAACCTGGTTCCAGTGGCCACGCCCCCATGGTCATGTGATCACATTTTGGTCACTTGGCAACTGGCTCGCATTTATGGCCATTTACAGTATCTGTGGTCACAATGGCTTTTCTGGAAACTGGTATTTACTTCCATTTTCTGGCAAAAAAAACCTCTCACCATTGTGGACAATGGGCTCGCTTAATGATTGTGGATTAATTTTAATGAGTCACAGAGTGAGTGGAAAGCCATATAAATTTTCTTAAATAAAGTAAAATATAAATCATGGTGATTTACTTAATGACTGCCACAAAACTGTTGTAAAATTGATGACCTGCTTAATGACCAGCATGACTTACAACTATATTTCCAAGCTCAGTTATGGACACAAGTCAAGGTTTACTTGTAGTTCTTTCCTCCAGTAACAGCAGAAATGAAAGAAGTGAAGTTAATTACTGAAATAATGTTCACAGGCGAAGACCATTTTAGTCATTCTTGAATAGCAGATGGAAAGGTGACAGATGCAGGAATGAGAAATATGAGAGTATTTTTTTAAAATCCTCTCTTATCTAGTTGTTTCCTCAGATTTTTGCACCTTCCCTAAATTGGAAATAATCTGCATCCAGCCAGCCTGAATCCATATTATGATTGGATAATATTATTATATTATGACTAAAGTAGGGGTGTCAAACTCAAGGCCTGAGGGCCAGATCCAGAGGTGGGTTTCAGCAGGTTCTGACCAGTTCTGGAGAACCGGTAGTGGAAATTTTGAGTAGTTCGGAGAATCGATAAATACCACCTCTGACTGGCCCCGCCCTCATCTATTCTCTGCCTCCGGAGTCCCAGCTGATCAGGAGGAAATGGGGATTTTGTAGTAACCTTCCCCTGGATTGGGGAGAGATTTTACAGTATCCTTCCCCTGCCACACCCACCAAGCTATGCCATGCCCACTAAACCATGCCAAGCCCACCAAGCCACACTCACAGAACCAGTAGTAAAAATTTTTGAAACCCACCACTGGCCAGATCCAACCTATGGGGTGCTTAGATCTGGCCCACGCCCTGGAAATAGGAAAGGACCGCCCCTTGGTGTCTCCGCCAGTGAAAACAGCCCTCCCGAGCTCCGTTTTCGCTGGCAGAGGGTTGCAGGAGATGGTCGCAGCTGAAAACAGAGCTTTGGAGCCTGTTTTCGCTGGCAGAGCACTCAGGCTGCCACAGGGGGCCCCGACATGAATGATGTTGAGCTAGCCATGCCCATCCTGGCCAAGCCCACCCTGGCCCCCCAAGGTCAAACACAACCTTAATGCGGCCCTCGAGTTTGACACCCCTGGACTAAAGGAAAGCCTCACAAAAACAAAAATCCCATTTCTATTTGGTTGCTCAAAATGAGGAAGTCAAAAAAAAACTCCATGCTCTCGTCTTCATTTCTTCTCCTAATCTCAGAGGTGAAGGCTTTGAAAATTAATTCAGTAGAAGACCCCTTTCAAGTTATTTCCCTCTATCGCCATTTCCCACGACGTAATAAGAGACTAATTTCAATCGTTCTTACTTCCGTGTTATTGTTCTCCACCATGTTTTCTGCCACCTCTACTACTTTCTTGCAAATATCACACACCAAATGAGGTTTATCCGCATCTGAAATTCCCTGCATAATGGAGTTTTGAGAGAGAGAGAGAGAGAATTAAACAAAACAAATGTGGTAAAACCATATTTTCTAGAGGCTGAGCAAAAGTAAAACAGGCATGACGAGGTAGCATTGCTCTCAAAGTACATTTTCATTGGTCACAGGAACACCATTACATTGTCAAATCTGTTTGCAGTGCAGTGAGTGCATTGTCCTTTGATTAAGATGATCTCTGCAATTTCTAGAGAAAGAAGTGACCAGGTTTTTAGCCGGCTTTCTTCTCAACTACAATAATCTGAGAAAATGTAATTGTTTGAACGAATTACAATTAATTGTAATTGTAATTAAGTAAGAGCCTCGGTGGCGCAGCAGACTAAAGTGCTGTTAAATAACACCAGCTGCCTGCAATTACTGCAAGTTCGAATCTCACCAGGCTCAAGGTTGACTCAGCCTTCCATCCTTTCGAGGTAGGTAAAATGAGGACCTGGATTGTGGGGGCAATAAGCTGACTTTGTATAAAAAAAGAACACTGCTTGGGGGGGTGGGGGCGAAAGCCCTACTAAGCAGGTATATACAAAAGTATGAAGGCTATTGCTTAACGCATTGTAAGCCGCCCTGAGTCTCCGGAGAAGGGTGGCATATAAATCGAACCAATAAATAAATAAATAAATAAATTAGTGCATTGTCCTTTGATTAAGATGACCTCTACAATTTCTACAGAAAGAAGTGACCAGGTTTTAGCCGGCTTTCTTCTCAACTACAATAATCTGAGAAAATGTAATTGTTTCAACGAATTACAATTAATTCTCCTTTGTTAAAGATCCTTAAATGATAGTTAGATTATGCTTCTTAGATTTTTGAGTGTCTTTCCATTTGTCACCTGCAGAGGGCAGCATCTGTGGAAGTGATTAACGTCTAAAGATGTCTTCTGTGGAAGCCATTGTTAAGACGATGCTACCTACCCATATGTGGGCTGCACAAATCTGGATAAACTCCAAATGGAAACAAAGAGTCCGTTTCTGTATCTTTTCCCTGCCATTTAGTGGTCGTCTGTATTTTTCAGCTCTTCACCTTAGATCTCAGGGATTTTTCTTTACCTGATCTTCTATTGAACCTCTTAGTTGTTTCTTCTTTTATGCTCTTAAGCGCAAGGTTTATTTTGTTCCCCATGAAATGCCTTCTCAATTTTATTCAAGGACACATTTCACGTTCTACTTGGTTTGGTTTTGAGCAAATTTCAACAATACCAATTCTCCAATGGCTTGTGTGGACAATTTTATTAGCCTCTGTCCTTCTGCAGACCCTGTCTTTATATACATACATACATACATACATACATACATACATACATACATACATACATACATACCTTAACTATTGCTCCATACAAGTCTGAAAGGTACTCCACTGGCTTCAATAGAGGAAAAGGCTCTAATTTTGTAGTGTCACAGAATCCAGTTTTACCGCAAATTCCCATTGGTGGCTAGAAGAATAAAATGTTCCATTAGAAACTAATGTTTCATTTTTATGAAAGCCATAGCATTTCATATTGAGATTTTTCATTTGCTACTTTTGGTACTTGGCTGTGATACTCAGACATTAAGACATGAAGTATGAAGTTAGCATACATGCATTTTTACATGCATCCCATCAAGAGATAGAAAGCTGCAAAAGTCCCATGTTTTACTCCTTTGATGTAGGAATAGGCTCATTAGAGTGGCATGAACTCCAACTGAAACAAGATTTTGCAACCCTAAACCCCCTATTATCTCAACCTGCAGACCCAAGACTGTTAAGGTTCTCTCTAATAAAAATTTCCTGTCATTTCATTGAAGACTACAAAAACTGTTCCCCTCGCACATATGTGTTAGTCGTTCCTGACTCTAGGGGGCGGTGCTCATCTCTGTTTCAAAGCCGAAGAGCCAGCACTGTCTGAAGAAGTCTCCATGGTCATGTGGCCGGCATGACTAAATGCCAAAGGCACATGGAATGCTGTTACCTTCCCACCAAAGGTGGTCCCTATTTTTCTACTTGCATTTTTTACGTGCTTTCGAACTGCTAGGTTGGCAGAAGCTGGGACAAGTAACGGGCGCTCACCCCATTACGCGGCACTAGGGATTCGAACCGCTGAACTGCCGACCTTTCGATCGACAAGCTCCGTGTCTTAGCCATTGAGCCACTATGTCCCTCTGTTAGGTTAGCAGTATTACTGGATTCCTGCACTGGACAGGCAGTGAGATAAGATGATTTCCAGGATCTCTTGCAATCTTATAATAATCTATGATTCTGCGATATTAGAAAAAGCTGACCATAGGCTCGATTTACATAACGTGGCGATCACCATGCCGGTTTGGACAAGGCACTGAATTCCAAATTAACTAAACAGGTTATAGTCATAATGAAGGTGAGCAATCCTAATCAAGGCGCTAGCTAAATTTTACTGCGTTTGAGTGATTGGCTTCGGTACATTGTACAAAGTATGATTTTTAAAACTCCAGAAGTTGCTGAAGGAAGGAAAAATTTTTAAAAAGAGGAAACACCTGAAAATCTTGAGTTTCACTCATATATGTCACATGACCACATCTGTTGGTAGAATCTTTCTGCCTGCTGAAATGGTACTGATGGGAAGAGGTTGACCTGTGGACAGTTTTCCTTAAAATGATAAAAATTAAACTGTGCAAAGATTTCGGGAGCTGCTAAGTAACTGGGAGGTAAGAGAATCCAGCATTATCAGTAAAAATTCCTAATTCTAGGAAAGGCAACCTGCTTCCCCATTCAGTGGGTTAAGTCTGGTTTCTTTTTTAATAATGGGTCTTTAATTTTTTCAGTGAACTGCCCCAGTGTTCAGACTGTTAACATATGAAACTTGTGAAGGCTTCATTTTTACCTTCCTATTGGGAACCGCAAAGAGGAAGTATTGCCTACTGTACTTCCTTTTTTCCCCAAAACCCCCAAGCTCTTTTCAGTCAGACAAAATTATTTGCCGTTGTTTAACACAAAAAGGCTCAACATGAAAAAGCTTGAAATGGAAAAGCATACGTACCGCATCCTGTGGACAAATAGGGGTGAAGAGAAAAAAGAAAAGGAAAAAAAGAAAAGACAATAAGACAAATATTCAAAACTTAAATTCTACTGACTGAGTAAAAAATGCCATATATTAATTAGGTATCGTCCTTATTCCATCAGATTATTCTCTCAGATTCTTTTAATGTTCTGCCACCAGAACAGAAAATTAAAAGAATATGTCTAGAAAACAAAGCTGAGATGATCAGAGGCTGCAACCCTCCCTCAGATACAAACTGCTTTCATCTACTATGAAGGGTCCCACGAGCATCATAATGGCATTTGGTCACAATGAAGCCCAGCCCAGCCAACCATGAGGAAGTGTGAGGCACAGTAGTGGTTGTCTTTCAGGAGGAGAAGGTTGTATCTGCTGACCAAAATTATCCCCAATCTGGTCTTCTACTTTTTGAGTATTTGCTTCAGGACATCACCTTCGTGGTCCACAGGTAAAGTGGACTTTGTTATATCCAGTGGTGGGATTCAAATAATTTAACAACCGGTTCTCTGCCCTAATGATTTCTTCCAACAACCAGTTCACCAAATTGCTCAGAAAGTTAACAACCGGTTCTCCCGAAGTGGTGCGAACTGGCTAAATCCCACCACTGGCTATATCCCTCCACCATCCTTGAAATGAGATTTAATCACAGTCCTACCATCTGCTACAAATGGAGTGATGAAATGGACATTGCTTTGCCTTTTGACTCAGAAATTAGACATCCTTGACTGGTCCCCATTATGCAACTGTTTCTGAATAAAAGTCCACTGAACCAAATCTGGCATTCCTCCCCCCCTCCCCCCCATCTGAAACCAACCTGATGTCAGCACTCCAAACTACATTCGTTCCAGTACTGACATAAGGAGGAGAAGAGGGGGCAGCTGGCAAGAGGACGCTTGACTTTTCATCTACTTATTTTCCCTGAAGATAATATCCCCTAGGAGATGTGATGGGAGGGGGGACATTCCTGGGAGCTGAAGTAGTAGATATGGGGAGAGTGATTTGGAAGATGGCCAATGAGTCACAGAGAATTGGGGAAGGGAAAGGGAAGGTTTGGGGTCAGGAAGTCAGTGTTGGCTATGATGTAGTCGGGGGCAGATTGTCGTGCTTAATAAATGAAAGATTTCATCAAAGACTATTTGTTTGGAAATTTATTTGAGACGACACCGAAACCTGACACCTACACTGTAAGTCATTTAAAGATTACGTTGTTGTGGTTAGAACAACCGATCATAATCCATCTTCAATCATTCTGAAGGAAGTTCTCATTATTTATAGACCAAATTTTGTAAGATAAAGACTTCAGGATCATAGAGAGAAGCCTTAATGCCACTTTTCTAGATAAATGTGATAAAGAAGACACAAAACTAAATGTTGTAATATTGGTAAAGTAACCCCAAATGATTGCTCACTTAACCACAGCTTTGCTGTGCCTTGTTTTTCAAATACCATATATTCTAATGCTCAGCAACCAGTTCCTTAAATCTCCTAATGTATGAATTTTAACATCAATGGTTCTTGGATTATTTTTCTTCTTGTAGCACTCAAAACTAGGTAGCAATCTTGGGTGTCATATTTAGGTTAAAAGTTCAATCAATCAGAAAAGAGCTGAAAGGGACCTTGGAGGTCTTCTAGCCCAACCCCCTGCTTAAGCAGGAGACTCTCTATACCATTTCAGGCAAATGACTGCCCAGATGACATACCTCCCTAGATTGAGTATCTGGTCTGCAGACTATAGTTTCTGTTCCCTTAAGGCAGGGGTGTCAAACTCAATGTCATTGAGGGCCGCATCAGGGTTGTGTCTGACCTCGGGGGCCAGGGGTGGGCATGGCCAGGGTGGGCATGGCCAGTTTGATGTCACACCTGTTGGGGCTTTGCTGTTGGTTGTTGTTTTCTTCTAAAAGAGACATATTTCTACCAGTCTTCCTGTTTAAGTTCTTATATAGCAAGGGTGTCAAACTCAAGGCCCGGGGCCTGATCTGGCCCGTGAGGTACTTAGATCTGGCCCGCGGGGCTGCCCTGGAAACAGCGAAGGACTGGCCCGCGGTGCCTCTGCCAGCGAAAACAGGCTCTCGAGCTCCTGCATGCGGCCCTCCCAAGCTCCGTTTTCACTGGCAGCAGGTTGCAGGAGCCTGTGGCAGCCAAAAACAGAGCTCGAGAGCCTGTTTTCACTGGCAGAGCACTCAGGCCACCACAGGTGCCCCCGACAGAAGTGACGTTGAGCTGGCTACACCCACACCGGCCCCCTGAAGTCAAACAAAACCCTGATGTGGCTCTCAATGGGTTATTTTTTATGGAAGCTGTTTGTTCCCTATTGTTTTTAATTTTGGTGTAGTCTTCTTGTTCTCCCGGGGGTTTACTTACCATAAATCCTGACAATGGGTAGAGAAAATGGCAACATCCAAGGTAATTGGATTATATACTCTTAATACAAATACAAATTGCAATCAAGTGTATGGGGAACTGAGATTCATCCATACTTAAGTGCCACGTCCGAGCAGTTCCCCTTGGTAAGAAGCCTGGGCTATGATTGCTGAACAAAGGGCAAGGACTTAAGTGCAATAAAATTTATTTCTATTTATTTTTACTTAAGTAGGTATATAGCAGTGATGGCAAACCTTTTTGGCACCAAGTGGTCACGTCGAAAAGGTCATGGGGAAATGTCGTGCATACACGCTTATCTGGGCCGGGCTCTGGAAAAGCTGAACTTCTGGATTCTAGCACATATGAATGCCCGACAATCAGCTGGCTGGCGCACATGTGCAGGCCGGTTTTCGGCAATGCTGCGTGCACAAAGGGATCACATTCCAGAAAAGCTGAACTTCGGGTTCTAGCGCACATGTGCTCCCGACAATCAGCTGGCTGGCGCACATGCGCACACTGGTTTTCGGCACTGCCCCATGTGCGAAGGACAGCTGATCATTGCATGCGCATGCATACCAGAAACCCGGAAGACAAACAGGTAAGGGTGACATGGCTTTGTGTGCCACTTTGGGCACATGTGCCATAGGTTTGCCATCTTGAAATCTTCTGCAGTGGTAGGGATTTCTTTGCAGGGCAACACATTCTAAACTGATACTCTTCTTTGTTACGTGTGCAGCAAGGACTGAAATTAAAACACATATTTGCATTGATAATTCAATTAATGCTTTTGCTCGCTGAGTTCTATGCCATTTAAAATATTTCTTTTCCCCGGCCTATTGCAAGTGTTTTGCAACTGTTTAGGTACCTAAGAGTTTTAGTCCAGCTGAATTTTAAAAGAGTAGCCGTATGTCTAGAATGTAACATTTGAAAAATTACAAAAAATTTACTAGCATAAACTGGACCTTAAGAATTTATTTATAGATAAGAGATGGGATTAATTTAATTTAATTTAATTAATTAAATTTATATGCCGCCCCTCTCCGAAGACTCAGGGTGGCTCACAATACATTTAAAAAATCATTATAAAAAGACATTGAAAAATTAAAAAAACATTAAAAACTCATTCACACCATACATGGCCGGATCTCGCCAGATCACAAGAACGAGATCAACGGCCCCAGGCCTTCTGGAAAAGCCAGGTCTTCACCGCTTTTCAGAAGGCCAATAGGGTGGGGGTGGTCCGGACCTCAGGAGGTAACTGGTTCCAGAGAGCTGGGGCAACCACAGAGAAGGCCCTCCTCCGCGGGCCCGCCAGCCAACATTGTTTAGCTGACGGGACCCGGAGGAGACCAACTCTGTGGGATCTTACGGTCGCTGGGAGCTATGTGGCAGAAGGCAGTCTCGAAGATAACCTGGCCCTGAGCTATGTAGGGTTTTAAAGGTAATAACCAACACCTTGAATTGTGACCAGAGACCAATAGGGGGCCAGTGCAGCTCGTGGAGAAGTGGTGTAATGTGGGTGTACCTAGGTGCACCCACGACAGCTCGCGTGGCTGCGTTCTGGACCAACTGTAGTCTCCGAACACTTTTCAAGAGCAGCCCCATGTAGAGCGTGTTGCAATAATCTAACCATGAGGTGACAAGGGCATGAGTGACTGTGATATGGATTTGTTGTATTTTAAGAGAAGGGGATAAGTTGCTAAAATTCTTTATATTATTTGGGATGAAGGGGGAAGTAATTTTTTTAGATGTTTCTTTTTTTCTGTACTATATTCTTTCTTTTTCTCCTTATTTTTTTACTTTCAACACTTGTATTTTTGTTCTTTTTAATCCTTTTCCAGTTTGTATTCATTTTTATATTTTTAATTGTACTTTAGGATAAAAGTTATTATCAGCAATAAGTTGGACCTTAACCATGCATTCTTGCTCGCAAAAGACATGAAGATGCAATCAACTTACCAAGAGATGCAGGAAGAATTGCACAAAAGCATGTGCGTATTCAGGGACATATTTCTTGCACTAAAGAAATTGACACCAAAACAACAACAACAACGTGAATAATCCTCAAAGATGAAAACCCATGCCATAATAATCAATAAATTATGTGTGAGCAGCTCAGTTAATTCCATTCTAGTTCCTCATTGAGATGCTCCTCATCCATTGTTACCAAGTTATGTTTCCCCTATTATTAAGGGAAATGCTAAGTGAATTAATTACCTCATATGCTATGTGGGTCCCCAAACTTTCACACTCCTTCCTGGCATAATCCTGCAAAGTCTGGGTAAGGAAAGGGCTGTTCTTCAAGATTTCGTGTATTTCATCAGCCACCACCTTGCATTCATGACACAGATCTACATTACTCTGCCAGAACTAAAGATAACAGAAGAGAACATAGGATTAACATACCTGCTAATTTTTGTGGCCCAAGTTTATCTCATAAAGGAAGTTTCTGTAGAACGGGGTTAATACGTTAACACCTCCGGAAACACAATTGAGTTGGGATGAATAATTTTACCAGACAGTAAAAATAATGTCCACCGTGAGCGTTAGCTACACCCCACATAGGCTCCCGAAATGATGCCTCCCATCCACTTATGTGGGCTGCTGAAACTCCCACAAGAAACAAATAAAGTATGCATGAATCTGAATCTAATCTGATACTTTCCCAAATTCTCAGCTCCCAGAGGAGTTGCCCATTTTATCTGGCTGGCATCAGATAAACTAAGGGAAATTAATTCCTGCAAATAGCTCATGCGTACATCTGTACTCATTTTGGAGATTAGACAAATGATACGAGCGGATGTTGAATTGAAGCCTTTTCATCCTTATACAGGGGTGGGCTGCTGGGGCTATGCAAGGGTTCGGGAGAACCTCTAGCTAAGATTCTGTGCAGTTTGGAGAACCCCCAAATCCAATTCCTGGCTGGCCCCGCCCACCCTGCCCCACCTCTCCTAGGTGTCCCCATGTGGCTCATTTTGGATGCAGGTAAGTGCAGGGCATGCGTTGAGTCTGAGGGAGGGTGAAAAACGGGCCTACTGGAAATTCGGGAAGGCCAGGAACAGAAATTCCAGAGGGCCGTTTTCGCCCTCCTGGAGGCTCAAGGAAAGCCTCCGGAGCCCAGGGAGGACAAAAACGCCCTCCCCCCATGGTGCAGGAGGCCGACTAGGCCACGCCCACCATGGCCACACTCACCCAGCAACCGGGCAGAGAACCCCTTGCTAAAATTTTTGAAGCCCACCCCTGACCTTATATAAGAGTCTCAGAGAACCTCATCTGAAGGAGCCAGCCCTTAGAAGTCAAATGAAGTTTGGTTAAGGTATCCCAAACCTCTTAAGTTAGAGTGGCAAAGGCCCCAACCATTACTCTGAGATCTTTCTGTCCTATCCTGGTTGGGTGGTTGACTGGAGGGTATCAATGATCCCAGCTATTTCCTCACCCAAGGCTCTGTTCGGGGTTTATCTGGAGGACTGAAGAGAAGAGGCACATTAGCCATGAAGGGAGACAGCATTTCAGGAAAGTCTGTTATTTCAGGCCATTCTTCTGATTTTGGCTGGTTCTGAAAATTCAGGGCTCCCTCAGGGCTATTTGGCTGATTGCAGAGTAGAAAAGCGCCACACACAATTTCAGGTCTATCCTAGAAAAACCCAAAGAGAGAAACAGTTTCACAAAAGATCCTTCCCTTTTCTTTAAAATAGAGAAACTGGAAAACAGTTGAAGAGTCTTGTTTATAGAAATCTTGTTCATTTCTCAAGAAGAAACTTTTGGTTTAAGGACCAAATAAGTACTATTTAGCTTTGATGAAAGCTAATACACACTTTAAAAAGTAAAAAAAAAGAATGTGCAGAAAAGAAAAAAAAACAATAAAAATAGGAAAAAAGAAAAGAAAAAGAAAAGAAATATATAAAGAAGTAACTTTTCCTTGTTCACAATTATAAACAATTTTAATAACTTAATAGCTCCTAAAATGCAACAACTAAATTCCCATATCTCATCTCATAGCTATAAATAAAATTTAACACCTGGTCATTCTTCAGTCCCGGACAGCAAAAGTTCATTAAGAGTTATGAGAGATATCTATTTTAACCTTGATCCAATAAACCTACTTTTTATTTATTTATTTTTTTATTTCTAACATTTGTGCTCTTTAATCCCTTCAAATAATATCCAAGAACTCAAAATTCAATGTAGGAAAGTTATTTAAGTCACTCTTCTCATTTGTTATTTATGTGTCCCTTTTATGATACCAGTTAATATTCAGAATATCACCTTTTTCCAAATCATGCTTAGAACCTCGTTTTTAAATACATATTTAAATCAATTTCAGCCTTGACCAGTAGAATTTGTTCCTTAACATAATTAACCTGCAGTCTAACTAAAATGGCAGATATTCTTAAAATTAGCTTCTGACTCCATTGGTCACAAATATCTTTCAATACATCCAGTACTTTAATCCATTCTGTGTTAATAACTTAAATTTAAGTGTTCTTCTCCTTTTGTTATAATTCATTCTGGTTCCCTCTAGTGTCCAGCCTTCAAAGTCCCATCTTATTATAACTATTTCCAAATTCAGAAAAACCAGCTGTTTCCCATGGGCTGGATATTTATGATCAATTTCAAAATCTCATTTCAAATCTATCTAGACTCTTAGATATAACTTTCTAACTTAGATATAACTTTTATAACTTTCCAGAAATAACATTCTAATGACTTGTTTGCCATTTGTTCCCCCAAAAAGATTTTTTTTTTCTAAATCCTTAAACTCATATTTAAAACATCTTTTGCTAAGGATAGAAGGAAACTCAGCCAGTGAAGGCCAAAAATTTGCCTGAGATCCACTTTCCAGCCCCCTATCTCTTCCAACATTCTTTTTTTTTTTTTTAATTTGATTTATATGCCGCCCTTCTCCGGAGACTCAGGGCGGCTTACAGTGCGTTAAGCAATAGCCTTCATACTTTTGTATATTTATACAAAGTCAGCTTATTGCCCCCACAAACTGGGTCCTCATTTAACCTACCTTAGAAAGGATGGAAGGCTGAGTCAACCTTGAGCCTTGGAGAGATTCGAACCAGCAGTAAATTGCAGGCAGCTGTGTTAATAACAGGGTGCTTTAAACCACTGTAGTACCAAGGCTCTTACTTCAGGGACATCTAGCTTACCATGTCCTCACTGGAATTCCCCCACATGTGAATGTGGAGATAGAATGGAGATAGAACATTCCCCCCGCAAAAAAATAAAAAAATAAAGCTAGTCTGATATCATTCTTACTTGTTGCATTGTGTATGCTAATTACGTGGGTGTCACTGGTCAAATGGGTTTTGTAGGCTTTTGTAGTACTTCAAAAGCCTGCAAAACCAGTTTCATCAGATCAGATATGAAAGGGAGGTGGTTTCAGTGACTTTCAAATACTTTTTGAAAAAAAATCATCTCCAAACTTGACTCCAAAATTTTAATTTTAATGAAACATTTATTCTGCTCAAAACAATCAACTCTTATTTAAACACACACACATACCAGTCAAATGTGAGAATGTTTTCAATATTTCTTTTTAAAAAAAGAGGTCATCTTTTTAAATCACTAAAACATTCAACTAAAATAATCCTATGAACTGTTCAAGTTGGAGGACGTCTAAGGGTAACATATGCAACCATGAAACAGAATCATATTTTGAAATGAATAAAGATACTGACATTCAATTCTTAGAGTGCAGCTGCACCATTCAGATTTTTTTTACTAACAGTCTCAGGAAAAAGGCAAAGATCTTGAAAATTGTGAGTCTGGAATTTATTTATTTATTTTATTTTATTTTATTAAATTTCTATACCGCCCTTCTCCCGAAGGACTCAGGGCGGTGAACAGCCACAAGATAAAACACATAAATACAAAAATTTAAAATAAAATAAAAACGAATTAAATAATTTGGCTGAACAAATTTAAAATACCCCATAATTTAAAAACAAATTAAAATTTACAATTAAAAAGGGGAGAAGATTTAGGCCAGGCCAGCTTGATGAAATAAAAAAGTCTTAAGCGCGCGACGGAAAGTGCGCAGATCCGGGATCCTCCGTATCTCTGGGCGGAGCTCGTTCCAGATCGTAGATGCCCCCACAGAGAAGGTTCTCCCCCTAGGGGCCGCCAGTTGACATTGTTTGGCCGACGGCACCCGGAGGAGCCCCTCTCTATGGGAGCATACTGGCCGGTGGGAGGCTATTGGTGGTAGCAGGCGGTCCCGTAGATAACCAGGTCCTAAGCCATGGAATTTGTTGTGACTTGTGATCTCAGTCCTTCAACAGGACATATGTTCCTGGATATCATAACCCCTACCAAGACCATATAAACTCTAGTCCTCTAGAAGTTATTGAGTCACTCATAGCAGAAGCACCAGAAGGCAAGACAAGAAACATTGGATGGAAACTAATCAAGGAGAGAAGTAATCTAGAACTAAGGAGAAACTTCCTAACAGTGAGAACAATTAAGCAGCTTGCCTTCAGAAGTTGTAGGTGCTCCATCATCGGAGCTTTTCAAGAAGAGACTGGACAACCACTTGTCTGATCTCTTGCTTGAGCAGGGGTTGGACCAGATGACCAAAGATATGGTACAGTAGTTCTGTGATAACATCTGCCAGCTCCTTCAGAACTCTGAAATGTAATCTATCAGATCCCAGCTGTTTACATTTATCAATATAACTGTTTGCTTACCTTTTTCTTGCTTATTTTAATTTTTATTTCTAGTCTGTGTTTTACAGTTACATTTTTTGGTAGGTTAGGCTATGATTTCTTTTTGCGGGACTGATGCAAAGAATGAGTTAAGCAATTTTGCTTTCTCTCTACTGCCTGTTACTTCCTTGCCATCTTCTCTCTTTAGTGGATTCACTGTTTCCTTGATTTTTGTCTTGTTGTTTATATGTTGAAAAGAAACTTTTTTTAAAAATTACCTTTGGCCTTTGTCGCAGGTCTTTGTTCATTCTGAGCCTTTGCTTTCCTGATTTGGGCTATCTTTGCAGATTTGGGCTATCTGTTGATAGTCTGCCTTAGTTATGTCCATTTTTTGTACTTGTCCTTTTTGTCTTTCAGTTGATCAGAGAGATCTTTGTCCAACCATGCTAGCTTCAGAGTAACCAG